AAAAAAAATAAGTGTAAAAAAAAAAAATATTTTTTTTTTGTCAGTTTATATCAAGCAATCACTATGACTGCTTAATCAATTAACTTTTTAAAAAAATTTTAGTTATTATCAGGCTGCTCCAAGCTTAGGAACAGCTAATAATAACTTTAGAGACTGATCCTGACAGCATGTCAGAATCAGATCTCACTAAAGGTCTTTGATCGTTCCTAGACGATCAAAACTGATACATTTCACTCCAGATACATTTGTATCTAGTGGTTGAAATGTATCATTTAACATCGGGCCAGGCTCTCCAGCTGTCAAAACGAATAGCAGAGAGGTGAGTCACTGCTACCTCTCTGCTTTCTTCAGCTGTCAAATACGGGATCGCTATTTAGCGAACCCGTATCTGAATGTAAAGGCTTCATTCTTTCATTAATGAAAGAAAGAAGCTTTTAAAAAAGCTTAACTATTTCATTAATGAATGTCTCAATAGTGAGGCATTAATTAATGACTGGAACTGCTGAGAATACAGTGTACGTGGCCAGTCATATAGCCACTTTGTGACGGGACGTACACTGTACGTCTCCCGTCACGAAGGGGTTAAACAAACTCAGGGTGGCATGGGCTTTCCCTCTTTGAAAATGTATCATCATGCATCCATACTGGACAAGACAAAAAAATGGTTACTGAAGGATGCTAATAAAGTGTGGTATACCCTTGAGAAATGCTTGATGGTCAAAGGTGACCTTGTTAATTGGTTGTTCGCTGCTCAATTAGACCGTTCTCTACAGACTTCTATTTCTCCCACCATCAAAGTTACCTTTTCTAACTGGCAGTCTGTTTTAGATGAAATGCACCTCTGTACACCTCTTACAACTTTACAGGCCCCCTTGCAGATATATGAGATTGTAATACCATACCTAGACTTAAGCAATTGGAGAATTAGGGGTTACTCCTCCCCACCTCCTATACAAGACTTAGTTATGTTCATGGACAGACTTCAACACTCCCAAATTACACATTTCTGTTCCACGAACCAAATAACGGACATTTGTGTACCCAACAAATTGTGGGCTCTGTTCAACACTCTGGCGTCTGAGACTCTCTCTCTTCCTGTTATGGTTTTTTACTTAACTCATCCTGCTTTGAAAGACTCCCATATATGTTCAAGTGGGAGTCTGATTTGTCTATCTATTTTACTGATGAATGGCAAGCCGCCAATGAAGCTAATACCCTACATTCTAAATGTATCACTAATTGAGAAATCTCCTACAACATTTTGACTAGATGGTACCTTGCGCCTTTTTATCTATCCATAATATTCCCCTCAGACTCATCACTTTGTTGGCGAAACTGTGGCCGAATAGGTAATGACTGACATTTTTTGGTCATGCAACAATCTTCGCAGTTATTGAAATGATATTCAAAATATTGTCTACTATTACTGGAGTACTCACCACTCCTACGCCACAGTTGGCATTACTGAATATAGATATACATCTGTACCCTAAAAATTACCGCTCTGTTATGCATGTTCTGTTTGTGGCCAGACATCTCATTGCTAGCTTATAGAAAATATCTACGGTTCCATCCCGACAGGAAATGATTTGAGTACATGCCTATTGAATGCATGAACGATTCATAGCTTATCGAATGAATCAAAAATCATAATTCCACTAAACATAAAACAATAATAGTAGTAGAATTATGTACCACCCTTATAACCACAAATGGATACTGAGACAAAGTCCACCATTTTTTTTCTATTAACTCATGTGTATAGCAATCTTCAACATGCCATATTATTACTTAATTCTTCCGTGTGATTATACCCAAACCCCTTCCCCTCCCTTACATTTCGCCTTTGTTACTACTAGCCATTCCTGACTACTACCAGGTTATTATACATACAGCTATTGTTTATCATATGCCTTAGGGACACTCGACGGGGTCGTTTTTATATCTAACCCATATTCTCTCGTTACATATAACGGAAGTCCATTACTAGGATTTAGATGTTTATGTTTCATTAAATATATAGTTTGTACAGTCCAGGTACTTCACTGGACAAGCCTATGTAACAAAAAACTGTATTTTTGTCCATGCACCGCGATATGCATGCTGTATCCAGATGACAAGGTTTGTTGTCTTTTGATCTCATCGTATACTTTGAAATTTCAATAAAAATTTACAGTTTAAAAAAAAAAATGAATAATCCTTATGACTGTGCCATTTGAACCACATATAATACAAGGGTTTGACACTCACACTGAATCTAAATAGGCAATTTTAATGTATCAGGCTATACTATACAATGTTGCAATATCTGTCTCTAGCTATCTAGAAGTATACAGAAGAGATGTAATTTAATACATTGGGAAATCAATATGATGCACTTGAGATATAGCCAATAACAATTTGACTATATAGCAAGCTCTGAAAAAGGGACCACTAGGGTTCGCTCACTTCCCGATCTTTTGAGGCGACATGTGACAGTTTCATTGTCACACGTCGGCTCGAACTATGAGATTGAGTGAAAATCACTCGCCTCATAGTTCTCCTTTAAATAATTACAAAGCAAAAACAAAATTTACTAAAACCAATTATATTTTTTTCAGTAACACAAAATGGTCAAGGGGTTACAATTCGATTATATAAAAGAGGAAAAATGAACTTACATTATTGCATTCTCCAAGGAAATATAGTGCAAATCCATCAGCTTTCGTAGCTGGAAGAAAAACAAATGTATATATTTATATTAGAGAGAATGAGAGAGAAAGAAAGAGCAGGTGTCAGAGAGAGGGTGAGAGAGAGCAAACAGTTCTAGAGTTTAGAATAGATGCCAGTGAGCAGATAAGGGGGCAGACTGAGGGACATTTATTTTCTAAAGGTGCATCAACATACAATGTCTTGAGATCTTTAACCCTTAGTTGTGTCGGATGCACAATTCTAGATTAAACCTCTTTTCATGCATTCCCCGGGTGTTACCCCTCCACATGAATATCGTGCATGCAAGTTTTTAGCACCCAAATGAACAATTCAATGCATTTTTCAATGTTGACCCTGATCTGCCAAGTTTTGGCATCATCCTATTGCATCCAGGTCTTCCTGTTACTACATTCTGTGCTGTAGTTATATACTTAATTATACATCCTTTTGTATCATCTTCAAATACAGAAACTGAACTTTTAATTCCAACCACGATGTCTAAACAGTATAGGCCCCAAGACAGAACACCCTGGGGCACACCACTCGAAACATTGGCCCACTCAGTCATTTACCACTACACTATGAACCCATTTCTGAAGCCAGCTTTTTATCAGTGTACATATATCCAAATGGATCTTAGTTTATAAATAAAGCATTTGTGGGGCACAGTGTTATATGCCTTTGCAAAATCTAGATAAAATACATTTACAGCTAGTTATGGTCAGTCTCTCTTCAATTCAATTGTGAATAGCATCATTTAATTTTCTTTAACAGATGGGCATTTAACTGTCCTAACATGCTAACATTTCAAACCATATGGTAACATCGGTTCAGATCTTCTTTCCCTTACTTTGAGGCATTACTCAAATGATCCAAAATTTATGAAGACTCACTAAGCTGTATTACAAAAAAAAAGAAGAAGATCTTATACTTTAACCACTTCCAGCGGGTTCACGTAAATACACGTCATCTGCTGGAAGTGGTTATACCAAGAACATGGCTGCTACAGCCGTGTTCTTGGTACCATTTTAAACAGCAGACGATTGCTATTTAAATATATGCGATCTGGCATCTGCACAGGTGCCGGATCGATTGTACGGTGTGGCGATGTGTCATTCCCCCTCTGCCGTCATCAGCTTCTCAGGCTCCACTGTCCCCCAAGTGAGCCTGGGAGCGGCGTGGTGGGTCTCCCCTGATGGATTGGAGGGAGATTAGCCGGCTTCCAGCCGCTGATCTCTCCACCGATCACTGGACCCGGAAGTGTGCACATTCTCTGGCTCAGAGAGACATGGTCTGCTTCATCAGCTTTTTTGGGGTCCCTAGGTTACATTAGTAGTCTGTAAGACCTCTGATGTCTCCATAAGGAGGACCAGTCACATTATATTTACCATTACATAGGGGGCTTGTTAGCCCCCTATCTGCTAGCAATAAAGTTGTGTCCAAAAAAAAAAAGAAAAAAGATAAAAATTAAAGTAACAGATAAAAAATAAATAAAATGCATAAAAAAAGTCGTAAACGAGTTTAAAGGGTCGCCTATGGGAAATGTTTGGTATCTACCGTATTTTGCGGTCCATAAGACGCACCGGACCATAGGACGCAGGGAGGTCCGGCGCGCCTTATGGAGCACTCGACAGACTGTAGCTTCTGTCACAGCTTCTATGACAGAAGCTGTGACAGAAGCTGCAGTTAGTGACCGCTGAGACAGGTGGCGCTGTGATTACAGCGCCACGGTCTCAGTGATCACACAGAGCAGACGAAGAACGTCTGCTCTATGGTGATCTCGATCGTCGCTGCTCGGTTTTAATACGAGTGATCTCATTAGATCACTCGTATTAAACGAGCAGTGGCTCCTACTACTCGCCCGGCGCCCAAAACTGCATGTCTCGGGCGTCGGGATTCGCTCCATAAGACGCAGGCACATTTTCCCCCTCTTTTTTTGGGGAAAAAGTGCGTCTTGTGGAGTGAAAAATACGGTATGTATAATACCTATTTATAATGGGTATTATATTCTGTTTCTGTGCACTAAATTTCATTTTGGTATATTTTATCCAAAAAATACTTGTTTGATAAACAGTTGTGCAAATACCGTGCAACATAAAAAAATTAAAACTAGCATCTTTTTATTCTACAGGACATCTGCTCTCAGAAAATATATAATTGTTCGGGGGTCTGAAGCTGTTAAGAACTACAATCAAGCGTTTGCAATAACTTGCAATGAGTCTGTTACAGCGTTGTGCAGGAATTTTGGTCCACTTATCTTTGCAGAATTGTTGTAATTGTAATACATTGGAAGGTTTTCGAGCATGAACCGTCTTTTTAAGGTCATGCCACAGCATCTCAATAGGAATCAGGTCAGTACTTTGACTAGGACACTCCAAAGCCTTAATTTTGTTCTTCTTCAGCCATTCAGAGGTGGACTTGCTGGTGTGTTTTGGATCATTGTCTTGCTGCAGAACCCAAGTTCTCTTCAGCTTGAGGTCACGAACAGATGGCCGCACATTATTTATATAATTATTATTTTTTTTATAGACACACAAAACAATAAATCTATACAAATACTACAAAATATTTTATATGCCTACCTGTTTTGATTATATCACTTAATTCATACAGGAGTAATTTATTGTCTCCGCCAGCATCTAGCCGTTGTTCCATGTAACTGTTCAACTCATAAACCACTCCTTGCATATTTGTATCCTGATACTGCTGAAGAGAGTGGAGAGAGAAATGTTATAACATGGTTAAAAGAAGCAGCAGAGATCAACGCTATATACATTAACCCTTGTATGGCCTTGGATGACACAAAGCATATGTTGACTATCAGCTGGTGTACTACAAAACCCCTTGATTTGACAGAGAGGTAAAATGTCAGATGTAAAAGTTTGACGTTTCACCTGCCAGTTACAGAAGACTGAAATGCTACCCATGCACCATTAAAGCTGAATTCAGGTTAAAAAAAAACAAAAACAATTTAACTTAGATGAAGTGTATCCCAAGTCCTGCTGTCTGCTTTAGAAATCCTCTCTTCAAGCTGGATACTACTCACAGCAATTCTGGTGCCACCAGGGGTGAAGTGAATAATGGACGGGAAGGGAGGATGAACGACAAGATTTCCCCTCCTCTATTCTCAGAAGGCTTTGCATTCTGTACAAATAATACAAGGTGTTTTGTAACTGGGCAATGCGGGAGAAAAGGGGGGGAGAATGACAGAAATCCTTCACAGAGCAGGTACTCTCATCCCTGGCAGCACTAAAATAAACTGCTGTGTGTAGGATCTGGCTTCAAAAAAAGGAGGAGAAACCAACAAACAGCAGGACACAGTATACATTTCCTTAAAGGCAGATTACATACTGTAACTGTTGCTGTATGCCTAAACAAATATTTAACTAGACTACATTTTAAATGACACATATTGCGAACTTAAAATAATTTAATAGCTAACTATGGGGTAAGAGTTTTTCCCCATAGTTCTCTTAAGGGTCATGGGAGGACATATACTAGCGTTCTACCGTGACTCAAACCTCAGTATATCATGAGCTACAGCTCGCGGTATACTGAGACCGTCAAGATCCACCCAGCTGCGTGAGTGACAGCTGGCTCTACCTATCTAGAGACAGAGCCAGCTATACCCGCCCCCTCCCGTTCCTGCAATCAGCACTGACTGACAGTCACTGCTCTCTGCAGGGAGATGATCGAGATGTGAGCGAGCATGGGGGGCTTGTAAGCCCCCCTATGTGATTTTATATACCTATGTGCCCCTATGTGATAGCAATTAAAGTTAAAAAAATGAAAATAGGTTTTTAAAAATAATTTCAAATTAAATCAATGTAAAAATAAATTTGCCCCCCAGATAACGCGTAATAACGTAAACACGTTTTGGATACGCCTATGTATAAAAATGACCATCACCAAACACATGTTGGGTATCATTAAACAAGACATAGAAGGTTGTAAGGGTTTCTGGAGGGGTGTAAATGACCGTCCAAGAGAGATATTTTAAAGGAATATACCAAATTTAATGCTTGATTAATTGCATACATGATTCAAAACAATCTTATTAAAAATCAAAACCCTGCAGAGGATACATCGGTATATTCATTATTAACAACTCTAAAATTCATTTGGTCCGACAATTCATTATGTTGTTCAATGTATTCAGATGTGGTTACATAATTATGAGTTATAGAGTATTGGTTCTATGGTAAGATGTTTGCAAAACATTATATTTTTATTGGGTCTCTCTATCGTAGGGAATTCAATAGGGTATATGCTAAGTCTTGGATATAATTCAACAATCCTTTTTGCATTTTAATCTAAATATTTGTGCGTATCCATTACGTTCATTCTAAGTTACTAATATGAGTGTTTTTTATTTGAAAATATACTGCTTATTTTAATTGACAATAGAGATAGGTGTGGAAAATGTTTGACCCGATTGCTATTGAATATGTACATGTGTATAGATGTGGGATTTGAAATGAGAGCGCAAGGGCTTTTATTTAGGAGGGGTTATTATAATGTGGCCCCAACATATAAGAAGTAGTGTGATTTGGGTGCTTGCTTCAAATTAATTGTGGCAAAAAAATCTACAAAAAATCAAACACAAACAGAAAACCAAAAAGAAGCTCTCTATGTGT